TCCGGCCTGGGCCGCAGCCTGGCGCACGGGAAACACCACGCTCAAGGGTTGGAGGGAGTTCCCGGAAGCATGGAAAGAGTGCGTCTTCGACAACCTCGCGCCGGCGCTGGCCATCGCAGGGAACTGAACTTCTGCCTGTTGGACTATGCCCCAATCCATGTGCAATCTCTCATCGCCGTCGACTCCGGGACGGTGTCGGCACCTAGCGAAAAGCTCCAGCGCAAGAGGCAACGAGCCCTGTTGCTGGCCAGCCGCGCGGCCAAGAGCGACCTGCGGGAAGCTGCCCTCCCTGACCGGGGCCCTCACCTTCAACGCGTTCGCCGGAAGGCGGCCTCGGCCGCCCTCTACCTCGAGAGGTTCCACGCCACGATTGCCAAGAGGATCAAGACTTGGTGGCCCCAACTCGCACTGCCGCCAGATCTGGCGGGCTGGTGGCGGCGCCTTCGACACCAGCTCGCGGTTACTTCCCTTGGTGCATTGTGGGCGAACTACCGCACGCTGGCAGGAGCTTCGCCTACGTCCTTCCGGATGCACGTCGGCATCCGCCATATGCCCTGCCGGTTCGGTTGCGAGGGCTGCAACGACGAGATCGTTCCTTACCTGACCTGTCGCGGGGCCCGGTCGGCGGTCTGGCAGGCGACGTGGTCATTCGCGCACTCGTTTGTGCTAGTACACAGACTTGGGCCTCGGCGAAGAACCAGCATACCAAGGCGCTGAGGATGTGGAGAACAACCTGCCGCAGACTGTAGCACGGTTGGCACGCCTCTACCACATTCACAACATTCTTCGCAACCGTCCAGGTGCACACGTCCTACCGCCGGACGCGGCAGTCGCAGCTGCGAGGGTCGCGGCACACCGGGTCAAGGTTCCACCGTCGACATCTCCAAGAAGTGCTACTGAGAGGCCCCGCCGCCCGCGAGGGTGAGCCATCTGACCCGCCACCTGCGGCCGATCTTTTTTCTCATCCTCCTCCCCCCTCTGTTCCTCCTCCACCTCCTCCTCCTCCTCCTTCTCCTTGTCCTCCTCCTCCGCCTCCTCCTCCTCCCTGCCTCCTCCTCCTCCTCCTCCTCCTCTTCCTCCTCCTCCTCCTCCTCCTCCTCCTCCTCCTCCTCCTCTTCCTCCCTACCATATCCCCCCCTGGACATGATCGCGTCGTTTAAAAGATCAGGACGGAAGGTATTCTGGCCAATGTTCGGACTCGGGGGGCCTTCGCCGGGCCTCGGGACCGTGAGAAAGCGACTCAGGACGAAAAGGGGGCCCCAGGGAAAGGGTCGGGACATCCAGGGGCCCCGAATTAAAACAATCAGGACGTGGCATGTCTGGGTATTTGCGGCCCCTGGCCTGGCGCTGTCTTTCTCGAGGGAGAGGGAGGGGGCGTCGGTTTGGTCGCGGGAGAGCGGGGGGGGGCGGAAGATGCCTCGACAGTAGTTGCGTGCTATCTTGCCCGAGAGTGGGCCCTCCACGGACCTCGGCGCCAGCAGGCCAGATCTCGATTTTCACGGGGCAGTGGTCTGCGCTGGCGCTGAAACGGCTCACGAAAACGATATCGGCAGAGAATGTTACTGTGCTTGTCTCTCCCTTACAATTAGAGTGGGCAGTAACCTGCTGCTGCCAATGATGTCGTATCGTATCGTATCGTATCCTCCTCCTCCTTCTCTTACCGCTCCTCATCCTCCTTCTCCTCCTCCTCCTCCCTCCTCCTCCTCCTCCTCCTCCTCCTCCTCCTCTTCCTCCTCAACCTCCTCCTCCCTTCTCCTCATCCTTCTCCTCCTCCTCCCTCCTCTCCTCCTCCTCCCCCTCCCCCTTCACCTCCTCCTCCTCCTCCTCCTCCTCCTCCTCCTCCTCTCCTCCTCCTCCTCCTCCCCTCTTCCTCCTCCTCTTCCCCCTCCTCCTCCTCCCCCTCTTCCTCCTCCTCCTCCTCCTCCGCCTCCTCCTTTTCCTCCTTGGTTAGCATCGTTCGCCGCCGCCGACCCCGTTCCCCGCCAGCCCACCCCCCTACGGTGGGCACCAGGCCCCGCGAAGCCCAACTGGGGCAGCGCAGCCCCCCCCACCAAGGAGGGGTGGATAGCCGGCCAGTGTTGAGTCGGACACGTCCCTCTACAGGAGGAATCTTCAAACATAGTGAAAAATAGTACGGGGACGATTGTTCGACTATGTTTGACACTTGCTCGGTATTATTTGGGGTATTGATTCTTGCTGTTCTTACACATCTGCCTGTAGGGGGACGCGCCCGACCTACAGCCAGTGGGTCCAAGGCCGTGCCAGCCCTGAGACCCGACGCTGCGACTACATTGCCACGTCGCGAAGATTCACGTCCGGAGCCCCAGGCCCCATCTTTCCGCGGCAGTGTTTGATCCTCGGGGGCCCGAAGCAGGGCAAGAGATCGCCCACTTCGCAGGAACTGCGAAACCCGGATCTCAGGCGGTGGGCATGGATGGCGGCGAAATCCGAGCCCCACATTCGCAGATCAACGATTCAGGCAATTCGATGGGCGGCGAGGCTAGGGTTCGGAGTTCGTCGAACACTTGGCGAAATCCGATTCTGGAGAATCGATGGTTGGTAGAGGTAGGGTTCGGATGTCGCCACCCACATCGGGATCGGTGAGCCGCTGCTCGCAGTGGCGAAGCTGACGCTCGCGGGCGATTTCGACGCGGACATGGTGCGGCTGCAGGCGTTCGAGAAGCAGGCCGGCCGCTCGCGCCCACCGCACGGCGCAGTTGCCGTTACCGCCGCCGTCCACGACGGCTTCGAACCCGTCGTCGAGGCCGTCGTCGTGAAGCTCGTCGTCGCCGCTGTCGTGTTCGGACTCGTCGACGGAATCGCTGTCGTGCTCGTTGTCGTCGTCGTTGCCGAGAACTCCGCTGTCGTCGCGCTTTGTCGTCGCCGTCGTCGTGCGCGTCGACGAGGTCGTCGCTGTCATCGCCTTCGCTGCATGCCAAGGAGTACAGAGAGCGGAGGACAAAGTGCAGTAGCAGAAGTGTGAGAGGAGGAGGAGGCGGAGGAGGAGGAGGAGGAGCATGAGGAGGAGGAGGAGGAAGAGGAGGAGAAGACGAATGAGGCGGAGGAGGAGGAGGACGAGAAGGAGGAGGAGGAGGAAAGGAGGATGATAAGGAGGAAGAGAGGGAGGAGGAGGAGGAGGAATAGGAAGAGGAGGAGGAGGATGACGAGGAGGAGGAGGAGGCGGAGGAAAAGGGGGGACGAGGAGGAGGAGGAGGAGGACGAAGAGGAGGAGGAGGAGGACAAGGGAGGAGAAAGGGAGGAGAGACGAGAAGGGAGGAGAGAGGAGAAGGGAGAGAGAGGGCGGGAGCGAGGAGGGAGGAGGAGGAGGAGGAGGAGGATGAGGATGAGAGGAGGAGGAGGGGAGGAGGGGAGGAGGAGAGGAGGAGGAGGAACGAGGAGGACGAGGAGGAGGAGGATGAGGAACAGGAGGAGGAGGAGGAGGGAAAGAAGAGGAGGAGGAGGAGGAGGAACAAGGAGAAGAAGGGAGGAAGAGAGGAGAAGGGAGGAGAGAGAGCGAGGAGGGAGGAGGAGGAGGAGAAGGAGGAGGAGGGGAGGGAGAAAGAGGAGGAGGGGAAGGAGCAGAGAAGGAGGAAGAGGAGGGAGGGGGGGAGCAGGAGGGGCCCAGTTCGCGCCACGGGGGCATGGCCCTGGACCGTTGGCGCCGCTGTCTTCTGTGTGCTGTCATGTTGGCTGTGTCTAGCAGGGGGGGCAGAGTCAGCGCTTGCCGTCTGACCTTGCCACTCGGTGCAGCCTGCATCTCCCTCCGCTGCAGGTTGGCTGTCCTGCACTGTTAGGGTCTGGAGGCGACGTCGAGGACGTCCAAAAATCACTTCTCCCTCCTCCCTTTTCCCTCCTCCCTCCTCCCTTTTCGGTGGCGAGCGAGGGGGGAAGTCAGAAGGAGAAATCTCCCCACGAAGGCGGCGGCGAGCGAGGGGGGGAAGTGTCGGATTCGAGGTCCGAGGTTTTTTGTTGTTGATGTTTTCGTCAGTTCTCGGCGGTTGTCCGGCCTCAAGATGCTTGCCGGCAGATGCGCCCCGACGAGGGCGTTCCGGGGGTGCCCAGCTCGTCCCGAGCGGTCGCCGGAGATTCGAGATGCGACCCAGAAACCAGAAAGTCGCCGGCCAGCGATGGGGGGGGGGAAAGACAAGGAGAACATTTTCTCAGCAGGCGGCGGGGCTTCTCCGAAACCCTCGAGCCTTCTGAGAGGCGTTTTGTGTCTTCGGGGAAGCTTCGGATGACTTTCAGGAGGTCGGGGGACTTCCGAGCCTTTGAGAAGGCCCGCCCCGTCTCACTTCCCCCCCCGTGCCCCCCGCCTACTGGGAGCCGACGTCATGAAACAACTGCAAAACACCTACGCATCGGAATCGGAGCCCATCTTCCTGCTGCATCTTTCGGGCCGGATCGATTGATCCGCGATGGCCCCAGATTGTCGGGTTGGTGGCGATGGGGGGCGACCCAAAGGGGGGGTGAAGAAAAAGGCCCCAAAGTGGCCCTTTGGGGGCCCTTTTTGGGGCACCTTCTGGCACCAAAAAGGGCAGTGAAAGGGCTCCGTTAAAACCCGTGTTCTTCACCCCCCACCGTGGCCACCCCCCATTACCACCCGCGCGAGATGGGCGTCGCATTGTAGGGTGGCGATGCGTGGGGGGGGGGGGGGCGCGAAGGCTGCCGGGCCCCTGAAAAGGGGCCCTATGCGTCGGCGGCCACGACGGCGAGCGCACGCCGGCGGCGCTGTCGGCGGAGATGCCGGCAGCGGCAGCGACGCCGGCGGCGTCTCCGCGTTGGCATGCGCGCCCCCCGCCAGGTCACAAGGCGCCTGGCAGACCTGGAGGCGGCGCGTGGGGGCCCGCCCCATGGGAGGGGAGAGGGAGGAGGAGGGAGCGGGAGCTGGAAAGGGAGGAGGAGGAGGAGGAGGAGGAGGAGGAGGAGGAGGAGGAGGAGGAAGGAGGGGGAACTGAAGGGAAGGGAGGGGGGAGGAGGAGGGGGGAGGATCGGGGAGGGAGGGGGAGAAGGTGGAAAAGGGAGGAGGCGTGAGGGCCCCATGGGGGGAGGACCAGCGAGCAAACAATGGCATAAACAGAATTACAGCTGAAACCCATGCCAAAAAAAGCACCCTGTTTGCCTCCAGGGTGCCCTGGGTTTCTTGGGTTTCGATGTTTTCGTGATGGAGAGCGTGACGTTCCCATGGAACAAATCAATGGATGCCCTGGGATCTCAGGGTTGGGTTTTTGGTGATAGCTTTCGCGTGCTCGAGCTCCTATTGTAAGCTGTCGGAGCTCCGCGCGGACTTCTCGGATCGGCGCTGGAGCTCCCCTAGCAGCGCCTCTGGCGCCGCCCCTGGCGCGCCCCGCGCCCCAGGGAGGGCGGTCCAGCGCCCGTTCGAGAAATCCGCGCAGCACTCCCAGAGGTTGTGTTTAAGTATCTATCGGTTCCTTTTAGAGGAGAGGTAAGAAGACGGAAGGGGGGAGGGGGAGGAAGGGTGGGAGAGGGGGAGGAGCGGGAGGAGGAGGCGGAGGAGGAGGAGGAGGAGGCGGAGGAGGAGGAGGAGGCGGAGGAGGAGGAGCAGGAGGAGGAGGAGGAGGAGGAGGAGGAGGAGGAGGAGGAGGGGGGGGGAGGGGGGAGGGGGGAGGACAAGCTAGGTTCGCCAGCGTCACATCCATCCTATAGACTCGCACAGTCGGATGTCGAGCAGTGCAGTGATCCCAAGAGGGTACGCGATGTATGGCAACGCATTGCGTAGAAGAGCACGGAAGAGCATAGCATGTCGTAGCATGGCTTGGCATTTCAGATTGAAGCATTGCATCACAAACCATAGCAACGCAAAGCATGGCATGGCACAGCAGTGCAGAACACAGCATTGCATTGCATGCCAGGGCATGGCACTGGATGACTTGGAGGGTAAGTGGCCCATCTACGAGAGGACAGGGCCTGACTGGAATGCTGGCTCCATGTCTTCCGCAACCGTGCCTGCCCGATGCGGGCGTTTTCGAATGCCAAGTGCCGTCCGGAGACACGGGAACGAGGCCAGCGCTGCCGCGGGAGCACGAGTGTGAATGACCAAAGCGCGGAAATGAGGGCGGCGCTGCAGCGGGAACATTTGAGGAGAACCGGAAACGACCGGATTGAAAAGGCATAGGGAAAACATGCAACGACATCTTGTTTGCAAAATATTCGCGGAGAAGACGGGACACTCTCCGGACAGAGTCCGGGGAGAGAGGAGAGAGTATTCATTTTGTGTAATTGTGGAGGGGAAGGGGGGGTGGAGGAGGAGGAGGAGGAGGAGGAGGAAGAGGAGGAGGAGGAGAAGGAGAGAGGAGGAGGATGGGGGAAAAGGGAGAGAGGAGGAAGGAGGAGGAGTAGAGAAGAAGAGAGGAGGAAGGAGGAGGAAGGGGAGGAGGAGGAGGAGAAGGAGGAGAGGAGGAAGAGGAGGAGGAAGGAAGGAGGAAGGAGAGGGAGGAGAAGGGAGGGAGGAGAGGGGGGAGGGGGGAGCGGGGGGGTGGGGAGGGGGGAGCGAGAGGGAGGAAGCAGTGGAATGATGATGAGGGTGACAAGCGGTCGGAGGAGGACCAGAGTAAGCCCAGGATCTCAACTGCCTCGATACGCCCGTTTTGAAACGCAATACGTATCGTGCTTAAGACGTCCGTGTTACTACGTTGGGTGATGGTTCAGCGTGTCGGCCCTTGTAATGGCGAGCGTATCCCGTCATGCCTGCGTTCCCAGTCTACGTGCTGGGCTCCGTATCGATACGCTACGTATTGCGTGTTGCGTACCGGGGCAGCTATAAGCCCAGGGTGCATCAGCGATGATGCAATGTACCCTCCCGTCCCGCGTCACTCGAATAATCTCAAGCCCCAAACGGCACGTATTTCGTCTCCCATTGCTGCGGGGAGCGCCTTTCTGGAATGACGAGCTCCCCGGTGGGCCTGCCATGCAGGCAAATGGCCTCGTTTTGGTAAAGAATCCCCCCCGCTCCATCTTCCGAATCGGGTTTAGTAGGCGCGAGAACCTTGAAGGGCTTCCCCGCGCAATTTCCGAGAGGGTTCCCACTTGGTCCCGAGCGCTAACGAGAACCATTCGTCGAACCAGTAACCACCTTATCAATTGCCATGCGAAGGGCCCCACGAATGGTGTCTGACCCACCAATGGCCCTCGAAAGCTCTCTCGGTAAGCTCATGACCCACAAACGATTCAAGAGGCTTACGCCATTCCACCGACGCCCAGGAGAGGGATAAAGTCAACGGGTGAAGCCTTTTGGGGCCGCTCGGGGGCCCTCTGGGGGCCTCTGTTGGGCCTCTTTGGGGTCTCTTCGGACCTCGTGGGAGTCTCTTGGGTGCCTGCTGGCGGTCTCGGGGGTCCTCTTGGTGCGGAGGGCTCGGAATGTCAGTTCGAATTACCTCTCTTGGGCCCCTCTTGGGGCCCTGTTGAGGCTCTCTCGGGCCATCTTGGGCGCCGGTTGGGCCGTCTTGGAACCCACTTTGGCCGTCTTTGGGCACTCTTGGAGGCCTCTTGGGCCGTCTTGGAGAGATATTGGGGGCCTCTTGAGCCGTCATGGACGCTGTTGAGACAAACCATGCGAACAGGTTCGAATTATAAATTTCCCAAAGAGATTTGGACCCTCTCGGGGCTCGTCTTGGAGCCCTCCTGGGGCGTCTTTGAGGCTTCTTGGCCAGTCTGGGGCTATCTTGGCCGTCTTCAGGACTCCAGTGCGTGTTGGAACCTTGCTTGAGCAAGCGTAGATCAAATCGTAGGCATCTTGAAGGTCACAGGGTGTACACACAGAAATGGAGGCTCCTGAGGCCCATGGGGGAGCGTCGATGAGCTCGGATACGCCCCCCCCCCACGCCCCTCGCCCTCCCGGGATCCTCCCCGCCCCCCCCCCCCCCCCCACCGGTTAATCGACTACGCGTCAGAACGACCTCTCGCCAGAGTGATCTCTGACGCGGGCTCACAGGTCACAGGGGTGGCCCCAGCACTGGCCCGCGCGCCCTTTGCGGTCCCCCCAAGCCGCGGAGCACAGGTCACTCCTGCCTAGGGCAACTCCTGCATGTAGTTGAGGTAATCGGATTTCAGGTCCCAGGGGAGGTGGAAAGGGGGAGAGGCACAGCCAGTCATCTCACACGCGTCTGCACGTCCGTCAAGCGGGGTCGGCGGATGTGTGCGCCGCTACTGAACCTTTCGATGGTAACGTTTTAGTTCCTGCTCGGCCACGCGAATGACGAAGTCATTGTTGCAAATGTTGGTCGTTCGCGTGCCAGCAGCCAGATCCGCAGCTCCTGCCAGGCAGTGTTCATCATGACAAAGAGGTAGGAGGATCAAGTTCAAGGAAGTGTCAAGGCCCCGTTTTGAAAAGGATTCGTTATTTATCCGCGTAAATGTTGCAAATTCAAGTGTACTCGTTGCGTTACGTTGGTCTCAAGCGTGACCCCCAGTTTGAAAGAGAGACTCCCTCGGACAATTCTGATTTGTTGGTCGAGAGCTAAAGTCGAAAGTGAGAGCTGCCTTTAAACGCGCATCTGTCGTCCTCGTACTGTCCGTCCTCGTAGTTTCTGGAACCTTGAAGAACATATATACGTGGAGCAAATGCGACATCCGCGCATGCTGACAGAGAATACCCCCAGACCTCCATGTGTGTAACCAGTGGGAGTGTTTGAAACAATGCTTGCGGCGCTAGAGCGAGAGTCGCATGTTGGGAACGGCTGGGCCATCATCTGTTTAGTTGTTAGAGCGCTCAGGTACAGGATCGCAAGTTGCAAGGAAGCCTTGGGCGAAGTGCTCGACCCAGCCTACGGACGCGTCTGGTGGCGCCACAGGGAGGAGCCCTCTGCATAGAGGAAGGGGGATGCATCAGGAGGGCAGGGGGGAGGAAGGAGGCAAAGGAGGATGACGAGAGGGACGCAGGAGGAGGAGGAGGAGGAGGAGGAGGAGGAGGAGGAGGAGGAGGAGGAGGGGGAGGGAGGAGGAGGTGGGGGGCTCTCGGACTATCTTGGACCCCCCAGCGCCGGCCCACCCCACGCGGGGTTGCCGCGCCCGCCCCCCTCGGACGAGGTTAGGGCGAGGAGGAATCTGCTCCAGGGCGTTCCAGAACGCTCTCCGAGCGTGGTCCAGGACACTCTGAGGAGGCCGCGGCGCCCGAGACATCCTCCAGAGCCGCCGGACCTCAGAGATTCTCGAGTTATCCCCGGCCGATGTTGTCCTCGTCCTGGCTCCGTCTTATGAGAGGCGAGGGAGGGAGGGAGGGACTTCAGGGGAGAGGCGGGAGAGGAAGGGAGCGATGGAGGGAAGGCGGAGGTGGAGAGGCGAGGGGGATGGAGGGACGGGGCGAGGTTCCCGAGCTGTCCTCGCCCGAGGCCGTCCTCGTCCTGGCCTCGCCCTGCCCCCCCTCGGCTCGCTCGCGATACGGGACCCCCGCCGTGCGGAGAGGCGGCGGGGGAGCGGGACGGCAGCGCGGGGCGTGCGGCAGCCCCCGGGGTGCCGCTGCCGCCTCCGCCTGGCGCCTCTCTCCCTCCGCGCCTCCCCGTGCGCACCTCGCCATGTGAGTGCCTTCTCCTCCCTCTCCTGCCGAAAAAACCCTCTCCCTCTCCCTCCCACTCCTCCCTCTCCCTCTCCTCCCTCTCCCTCTCTTTCCTCTCCTCCCTCTCCCTCTCCTCCCTCTCCTCCCTCTCCCTCTCCCTCCCTCTCTCTCTCTCGCGTCGTAACAAAAATCCATGACGGGAGGTTTTTGGCCAATTTCGGCCTCGGGGGGTCCTCGCTGGGCCCCGGGGGCCGTCAAATAAACGACTCGGGGTGAAAAACGCGTCCCGGGGAAAGGGTCGGGGCTTCCGGGGACCCCGT